CAAGTGAAACTGGGCGTGGTGGCACGCGCCTGTAATCACAGCTCTTGGGAGGCTGTAAACAGGCAGACTACTATGAGTCAGATCTAGTAGTGAGACCCTGAACACCCTGTAGACCTTTCCCTAAAGTAAAAAAAAAAAAAAAAATAGTCAGTGGGAAACTGTAACAACTCAACCTAGGCAGTATGACAAATGGTCCAGAACCTTCAGGAGTGCAAGCATGGGTCATCCCATCAGGCAAACAACAAAGACCTGCTGAAGCGCTTGTGGAAGGCCAGGGGAAAACAGAATAGGTACTAGAAGGAAGTAGTTCCAGATACCAGCTATGATCTCGTGATCGGCTATAGAAATACTCCTCTCCTAATATGCTGCCTGCCTTTATTTATTTATTTTTCTGTACTTTAGGGAAGAGCCTACAGGGTGTTCAGGCTGTCACTACTAGACTGGACTCCTGGTGATTCTCCTGTTTACAGCCTCCCAAGTTGGGTATTACAGGCGTGCACCACCACGCCCAGTCTCAATTGCCCTCTCAGCATGCCCCAGGGGCAGGGATGGCATGGCAGTCCCAGGGATCGAACCCCTGGCCCTGAGCCTATTTAAGACAGGATCTCACAATGTAATGCAAACTAGTCTTGAATTTGCTTACAAATTTGAAGTGGTTTTCTTGTTGTTGTTGTTGTTGTTGTCGCTGTTGTTTTTTAACTTGCGTATATAGCCCAGGCTGGCCTCAAACTTGTGGTGATCTTCAAAAGTACTGGTATTATAGGTGTTTTCCACCATACCTGGCTCTCCTAATATGTCTCTCATGTAATATAATGTTGCTAGATTTAATACTGATTCTTTTTTCTTTTTCTTTTGGTACCAGGAATTGAACTCAGGACCTTGCACTTGCCAGGCAGGAACTTGTGCAGCTGAGCTGCTACCCAGCCTTTAATACTGGTTCTTAAGTATTGTTAAATCTATGTTATAATGTTCAAGTTATGAAGTGCTTGAAGTAAGTATAACCCAAAGAAAGTACTTTGTACTCTAGGGAAGGAAATAATGTTTCTATTTATATGCAGGATAGCTATAACATGTTAGGCATAATTATGAACTTGTTTTGTATCTGAAGACTATGGTTTAGAGATATATGTTTTTGGTTATCCAGTTGACAAGGGGTGGACTGTGATAATTAACTGTGTCAATTTGAGTAAGAAAAGCCCAACTAAATTGCATGAGCGTAATGTGGCTGAGGGGATTACTGAAGACAGAAGACCCACTCTACCAGGGTTCAATCCTGGGCCTGCTGTGCTGTCTCCTCTCTCGGGGGCACACTGAGATGTTGATTGAGACTGGGTGTGGTGGTGCACGCCTGTAATCCCAGACCTTGGGAGGCTGAAAACAGGAGAATCACTGAGTCAGATCTGTGTAGTTAGACCCTGTACTTAAAAAAAAAAAGGCCCCCGCCCAGGGTGACTTGTTGCCTGGATTGCATAAAGGGGACATGAAGAAGGAAAGGCTGAGTCTGTTTCTTTGTAGGAGCCCCAGTCTTCCCCTTCTCCTGGACATCTGTCCTCTCCTGGCTTCCAATGCAGAAGCCTTTGGCCTCTTGATAGCTCTCAGCCCTTCACTGGGACCCTCTGGATCTCTAGTGTGAAAACAGCCGTTTTGCACTTTTCCACACCTGACTTTGTGGGAGGCCATTGCAAGCCAGTCTTGGGCTGGTGAGATGGCTCAGTGGTCTAAAGCACCTACTTAGAAAAAGCTTAGTTAAAGCACAGGGACAGCGGTTCAATCCCCCAGCACCACATGCCAGCCAGCCCCACCCCCTGGTAGGCTGAGCTGGCCACACACACACAAATAAAATTTATATATATATTTATTTATGAAGTTTTAAATTTTTTTATATTTATTTTTTATTGAGAAATAAATATGAATGAGACAGTTTCACAGCTGATTAATAGGACAATTTTGATAGTCAATACACTGTACATTGTTATCTTCTTAGTGGTTATCCATAGTACAAGAAACAGACAGGATATTCTGTCCAAACACTGTTAGTACACCTCTTTCTTCTCATTGAATTAAGCGAAAGTAGCTGTAAATTTATCCTATTTTGTATATATAAATACAAAATGATCTTTCCTTTGTATCTTTTTTTTATAAATTTTATTTATTTATGTGTGTGTGGCCAGCTCAGCCCACCAGGGGGCGGGGCTGGCTGGCATGTGGTGCTGGGGGATTGAACCGCGGTCCCTGTGATTTGCTAAGCTTGTTCTAAGTAGGTGCTTTAGACCACTGAGCCATCTCACCAGTCCCTGTATCTTTTTTTTAATTTTAATTTTTGTCCTGTCAGAGGTGAATAATCTATTGGCATCTAAGTACTATAGGTGTTTGAATTCAACTAAACAATCTATCACGGTCTAGTAGTCTATCATATTAGTGGGTTATCCTCAGAAGTTATTGACTCGAGCCTTTTACAGCTCATCGTATCAATATGAATTTACTTTATATACCTCGTTTTTATACTTTTCTGCTGGATGGTTAAGACCAAGATATATTAAGAAGTTTTTTTATTTTTTTATTTTATTTTTTTTTTAATTTTATCTTATTTTGTTTATTTATTTATTTATTTTGTGTGTGTGTGGCCAGCTCAGCCCACCAGGGGGCAGGCTGGCTGGCATGTGGTGCTGGGGGATTGAACCGCGGTCCCTGTGCTTTGCTTAGCTTGTTCTAAGTAGGTGCTTTAGACCACTGAGCCATCTCACCAGCCCCAAGAAGTTTTTTTAAAGGCAAGTTTGCCCTATTTAGTCTACGATGGCTTTGAACTCACTATGTAGTATATAGTTCAGGCTAGTTTTGAACTTAAGATTCTGCTGCTTCATCCTCATGAGTACTGGACTTATAGATGTGCTCCACACCCAGGTTCCACGTCCAACTCTTATTGTTTTCTTTTTCCTTAGGGTTGGATTGAACCTACAAGACTAGTTGAACCCACAAATGTGGAACCTGCGAGTACGGAGGGCGAGGTGTAGCCATGCACATACCTGCACACCGAACAATTCAGTTAACAATTCTAGTTTCTGAATCTTGGCCAGATAGTAACTGGACAGCCCCGGCTTCTGGAATTGCGTCCTTCCTCTAAGCGAGCATATGAAAACCTCTGGCTATTTGTTGTTCTCTGCAATTTCTCAACACAACACTTTCCTCTGAAAGACTGCTGTCGTTTTGGTGATGTCTCGGCAATACAGTGAATGGCTACTAGTAGGCGATCTACCCGCTGCCTCTCACCGAAGTACCTGAAAACACGGGGAGGCGGGGCGCACAGTATCAGAGCACTTGCAGAAAATACAGCTATGGGGCCCGGCCTGGGTACTGGAGCGCCGCCTTTTCAGAATCACAGGAACCATCACATCCCGCCTGGCTCGCCTGATCCAAACTGTTCAAACTACAATCTGGGGTGCCACTAAAGCGACCACCTCTCAAGACTAAGAGGTGCAGCGCTCCTCGGCGTTGGAACGAGCTTCCGTAGGCCCAAAGGATCCCGCCTCCGTCCACGGGACAACCTATAAGCGCTCATCTAGCGTTGAGCGGCTGCTTCCTTTGAACCAATGAGTTCCGCTCTCTGGAAGGAACCCGCCCACCCCTTGTGTCGTCATTAGTACTCTTAAAAAGATAGGACTAACCGACCCTTCCTTGTAGGGATAGCTAAGGTGGCTGGCGGGTGTTTGCGTTGAAACGTGACCGTGGCCGGACCTTAAAGGGGAGGGAACAGAAGGAGACTGGAGTCCTTTAACAGGAGCGGGCTAGCGCCTGCCCCTTTAAAGGCGGGGCGTCCGGCGGACTGAATCTGAGCCCCAGATTACCCGGAGTTTCCGTCAGAGGGTGCTCCGAGAGGCTTCTAGGCTGAGTCCCGGCGCTCGGCGGCGGCGGCGGCGGCCGCATCCCGGCTTCTCCTCCCCGGGCCGGAGACACCCACCTCCAGTCATGCTGAGCGGAGTATGGAAGCGGCTGACTACGAAGTGCTATCCGTGCGAGAGCAGCTGTTCCACGAGCGGGTCCGCGAGTGCATCGTGAGTGCCGACTGGGCAGGAAGGAGCGGGAGCGAGGCGGGCGGCTCGTCGCCAGAGGGACGGCCTCCCGAGCGGGCGGAGGGCAGCCCCGCCGCGGCTGGGTGAGGGCGAGTCTCGGCCCCAGCGGGCTTCCAGGAAGGGCGTGGAGGTGCCGCAGAGGCGGGCGGGCGGGGGCCTTGGCCAGTCGGTCCTGAGGTGGCGTCGAAGGTGTGTGGAGCTGGGCAGCCAGCGAGGCTCCCCGCTCTCCGCGCGTTGTGGTGCTTTGCTTTGCCTTCTGTGTGCTGGGGGTTGGGCAAGGGCCGCCGCCAGGCGGGACACCTGCCTGCCGCAGCTACGCGCTCGCTGGTGTTTACACGAAACCCTTCCAAGGCCGTCCCCCGGCTTCCACCCGTTCGCCCCCAGCCCGCGAGGAGCGCCGCAGACCGCTGCCGGCAGCGCGCCGCGGGCGGAGCAGCAGGGACCCCCTTCTGGGCTGGGGGCACCCAGCGCCTTGGGCGTCGAATTTTCATCTCTTAGAGCAGAGTGCCTCACCGTAGGCATCCTCGCCCCAGAGCCTAAGTGAGAGGGAAAGGTTTGGAGATGCAGAAAAGTACTACTGTAGTGGGTTTAGGGGAGGCACTGATGGGCCCACGCTTTTCTCAGGCTGGGCTTTAGACCATCCTGGGCAGAGTCAGGTTGGTGAAAGGATAAGGTGTTCCAGGATTATACCTAGGCTGCTCTTCTCCTTGAGCACTAGAAAGCAGAAAGTATGTCAGTTCAGTAGGGCTCTGGTTTCAGAAAACCTTTTTTGTGTGCTCCTTGCTAAGTAGGTTTATATGCTGGCCTTGGGCTTTGGGCTTGTTGTGGAGGCACACCCAGGCCTTGAGGTGGTGTAGATGCCCAGGCCCACATTCCTGAAGAACGAGGGCGGGTTGAGACCTTGGACCAAAAGCAGCCTCCTGGATGTCTCCCCCATTCTCTGATGCCATTAGCTGGGAACATCGGCGCTGGCCTAGGACCTGAAGGTTTTGGGTGCCTCCTCCACCTGATCCTCATCTGTAATGGCTACAGAACAACCTAACCTCTGCTGGAACTGTGTGGAAATCTCTGACCTTTAGAGCCCTCCCATCTTGTGCCCTATTACTCAAGTGCAACATTAGGCTGTAAAAATCTTGCAGCTATAATCTGAGTGGTTTTCCCCCTCTGATATCAATAGTTACAACTTTTCCTAGACCAATGGCTCTTTTGGGTCTTCTTCCTCTTATTGTAGATAGATGTATGTGGGCAGATTCCCTGTGCAGTGCGCTTCTCTTGGAGACAGGGAGTCCCACTAGGCTGATCTTTAGGTTATTGGGTTTTTTTTAAATTTATTAGGGAAGAGATTGGGTACTAAGAATAGCTCCTGAGAGACAGGAGAGGTTCTTAATGGGTTCCCAATGAGCCCACTTCTCAAAGGAGTTTTATAGAGCAAAATCATGAGTACAACTTGGGTTAAAAACTGATCAAACATAAGACAACTATAGCTGTTTAGGTAATATTGATCCAGTTAGGAAGCAGGTCATGTAGCAAGTGTCATGGATGACATCATTAACCTTCATCGGTAATCTTAGTCTTTTTTTTTTTTTTTGTCTTTTTGAGATAGTCTCAGGCTGGCCTTGTAATGATCCTCCTGCCTTACTAAACTCCCCAAGTGTTGGGATTGCAGGCATGCACCACTGTACCCAGCTCTAGCCAGTAATTTTTCTGGAGTCTTTCTGACCTTGATTGTACAGCTAAACTGACCAGTGGCTTCTCTTGGTAATAACCGTGACTGGAGATTAAATAGGGATGTACTGAGATTAACCTGTCCAGACGCTAGCATGATTATCAATTGGAGATGCAACATTCGAGGGCATGTGATAACTCTGAAGCCTGATACTGGAGGCAGATGTCATTTGAGGTCGGGTCCATAGAATGACAGCCATTAAACTGGATGATACTTGCTCTAGAAACCTTGTAGATGTTGGGCCCCAGTGAAGTCTACTTGTAGATTAAATGAGGATTAAATGAGCATCTGGGTTTTTTTTGGCAGTACCAGGGATCGAACTCAGGACCTTGCATTTGTGAGGCAGGCACTTACACCACTGTGCTATATCCCTGGCCCCAGAGTATCTGGTTTGGACCTAAGCAGACCTGATCTTTCAGGGCCCCTGAAAGAGGTGTTCCAACTTAGCCCGGAAACATGATTCCTACCTTCTCCTGGAATTTGCCAGGGCAACAGCTGGAATAGGGTAAGAATAGTGTGCCCAGCCAGGCATGGTGGCACATACATTGTAATCCCAGCACTCTGGAAGGCTGAGGCAGAAGGATCACAATTTCGAACCCAGCCTGGACAACTTAGTGACTTAGACCCTGTCTCAAAATTAAAATCCTCTGCCTTTTTATTCTAAAAGGGGTTGGGGATATAGCCTATTGCCAAGACCCTGGATTTAATTCCTGGGGGGGGGGGGATATATGCCAGGAGGACAAGACAGGCATCTCTTCTCAAACCTGTTTTCCTTTCATATAATGTGCTCAAAGTACCCTCCCTTTGGCTGTGTGGCCTGTCTTAGAGGTCTGTGTGTGTGTGTGTGTGTGTGTGTGTGTGTATGTACGTACATTCTAGGAGTTTTCTTTTTATCAGTGAGGGTTGGGTTAAAGGTCTTTCCCCCCTGAAAATTCCTTGTCATGCTGGGCATGATGATTTCCTAAGTGTGCAAGACTGACCTTGTCTGGTTCTTCTTCGAGCCCTAGAGGCCCTGACAAGAAGGGAGTAAAGGTGGGAGCCCAGCAGATGTGGGGCCTTGTTTTTGAGGAAGTGAGCCCAAAGATGAAACAGGACTTTGGGGCTGTGAAATGTGCTAGAGGTTGGAGCTTTTCATTGTAGCTCGCTCTCTGCCACAGATCTCAGTACTTCTGTTTGCGGCACTCTACATCCTCTGCCATATCTTCCTGACCCGCTTCAAGAAGCCTGCTGAGTTCACCACAGGTACTTGCAACTTTTCTCCCTTCTGCCGGAGTTCCTGTTACCAAGGAGCCACCCTCAGGGGAAAGGATAAAGGGTCCTGTGGGAAAAGGAGGGGTGATTGTGCCAGGTTCTTCTGGAGCCTTTTCTTCAGCCTCCCTTTGTGCAAGGCAGGGCCTTGGTGACATAGTGGGAAGTCTAGGTGGCAAGTCACATAGCTTTTCTGATCTTTAGTTTCGTCCTGGAAAATGGGCAGAGCAGTCTACGAAGTTGGTTCTTACTGAGTGACCCAGTGAAGGCCCTTTGTGAACCTGAAGTGGGCAACTGCAGAACACAGTGGGCACATGTCTGCGTCATCCCTCCTAGTGTTCCTATACCCAGGACCAGAGGCCTCCCTGATCATGGAGCCCCAGGACCTGGAGATGATAGCCTTCGTCTTTTCAGAGCCAGTGTGCTTGGCTTTCCTTCCTGGAATCATTGTGTGCTAGGGAGAGAAGAGCATCCTTGCCTCCATCCCTAGCCCCAACCCACTCATCTCATCCTGTTCTGGTCCCAGCCTTTCCTCCCCTGTGGCTGCTTCTTGACCAGCTGCCCTCATAGAATTGCCCGGGGGACTTTCTCTGAATCTCCCCACTTCCCTCCCCTGAAGTCTATTTCCTTTACCCAGCTGCTGATATAAGGCACTTCACAAACCATATGTTTATGGTATGGGACAGATTGTGGGGAGAGTGGAGAGAAGTAAGGGAATATCTGGTGTATATTTTCTCCATATAGAACCTTTGATCAGTTTTTCTTTCTTTCATTCACTGTTTTTTTGTTTGTTTTTCATTCACTAGTTTTTGAGATATAGTCTTGCTCTGTAGTGCAGGCTGGTTTGAATTCACTTCACAGCCCAGGGTGGTCTCATACTCCTTGAGGTCCACCCTCCTCAGCCTCCCAAGTGCTGGGGTTACAGCTGTGTGCCACCGTACCTGGCTTCCTGATATCCAAGCTGCCATGGCAGGAGACTAGGTTGTGGGGCCCATAGTATGGGGGACCTCCCAGTTCTGATTCCCTTTGAGGGCAGGGAGGCACAGGGCACCATAACCTACTTAGTTGCCGCTGATGTGGTGTATCTTCCCTGTGTTTGTCTCTTGCAGTAGATGATGAAGATGCCATAGTCAACAAGATTGCGTAAGTGTCACTGCCTCAGCACTTGACACGAGTGGCTTTTAGAAGCTGGGATCTAGGGAGACCCCCTAGAGCAAATGGGATGGTATAGGTAGAGTTTTCACCCCATCTCTGGCTTCTTCCTGCTTTACCTTGTTCTGGGGACGCTCAGAAAAGCTGCTGTTCCTGTCTCCCTGGTTAGACGAGGAGATCTGGGGAGCCTCACAGCTAGGAAGTACAGCTGGGGCCTGAGTCACCAGAAGTAGCCCCAGTTTGGCTTCACCTCCCAGCAGCCGGTGCATGGGGAATGGAGTAAGGGTGTGCAAGATAGAAAGCCAGAGTAAAGAAAATGGTTGGTTTTGAAAAGGCCTTACTCCAGACTTTTTTTTTTTTCTTTTTCCTTTTTGAGACAGGATATTGCTATGCAGCTCAGACTGGCCTTGAGTTTGCTTTGTAGCCCAGGCTGGCCTTGAATTCTTAATGATCCTCCTGCCTCAGCCTCCCGAATGCTAGGCTAGGTGTGCACCACCACACCTGGCCTGTTCCAGACTGTTCTTATTCACTGATATACCTTCTACCCCTTCATCTCCCATGGACCAACTAGATAAAAGTGGCCCAGTTTATACAGCCCCAGGCACAGGACTGCCTGTGAACCTGGGCTGCAGCTTCCCTGGGTCCTCTTGTGCTCATGCCTTCTTACATTATAACCACGTGCCCTGGCCTGTTTTTATCCAGGCTGAAAAGAGAAACTTTACAGTCCATACCCCTAAGAGAGAAGAAAAGCCATACACCTTAGCTGTGCCATCGTGCCTGGCACGCCCTAAAGGCTAGTATGGGAGGGCCACATTCCTGGGGACAGCCTGGGCAAGTGACATGGCAGGTCTCCAGGTACCGGTGAGTGCCTGAGGTTGTGCTATTCCGTGTACCAGGGTTCCCTTGGAGGTAAAGGCCTAAGGCAGGGTGACATGGCTACAGCCCCAGCTAGCCAGTTCCTTCTCTAGATCTGTCAGCTACTACCATTAATTCTAAAAGCCAGATTAGGCTTCTTAGGCTCAAGGCCATGAGCACAGAGCTGAGCACCAAGCCCTTCTCTGCCCAGGCTTGAGCTGTGCACCTTCACCCTTGCGGTTGCCTTGGGTGCTGTTCTGCTCCTGCCCTTCTCCATCATCAGCAACGAGGTGCTGCTCTCGCTGCCACGAAACTACTACATCCAGTGGCTCAATGGCTCTCTCATCCATGGTACGTGGCGCTAGCTGCAGCCTGGGGTGGGGAGGGCAAGCACTAGCAGCCTGGGGCTGGTCAGCCACATGTCACCCTTCCTTTCCCCCACCATGTGGCTGGTCCCTGGGGATTGCTCCCCTTTACTGACCATCTCTGCTTTTCCTTTTGGTTTTTTGTTGTTGTTTTTTTTTTACCTCTAGGCCTCTGGAACCTCGTTTTTCTCTTCTCTAACTTATCCCTCATCTTCCTCATGCCTTTTGCATACTTTTTCACTGAGTCTGAGGGCTTTGCTGGCTCCAGAAAGGTGAGTAGTGGATATAACTGTCCATCCGGGCAGGAAGCAGAAGTCCACTTAACTGGATCAGCAGCAGATTTTAGGGCCGGAAGATAGCTCAGCAAACTACAGGGTGTGCCTAGGCAGAGTGCAGGACTGGGGTTCAATTCTGGGTAACACATGCTGTGCTAGCCCCGCCCCATGTGCGCTGAGACCCTGATTGAGACTGGGTGTGGCGGTGCACGCCTGTAATCCCAGCACTTGGGAGTCTGAGAACAGGAGATTCACTATGAGTTTGATCTGTGTAGTGAGACCTTGTAGCCCCTGTACCAAATACATAAAAGGGGGGATGCTGGGGAAGGGTCTCACTAATAAAGAATACCTGGGATATGGGGTTGAGAGGTGGGAGGGCAGAGGCACTGAGCAGAATTAGGGGAAACACCCCCTCTGTCTAATCTGGGTGTGTGTCTGTCCCCCGCCCTACACTGCCCAACGCTGACGCTGTTCTCTGTCTCTCTAGGGTGTCCTGGGCCGGGTCTACGAGACCGTGGTAATGTTGGTGCTTCTCACTCTGCTGGTGCTGGGAATGGTGTGGGTGGCATCAGCCATCGTGGACAATAAGGCCAGCAGGGAGTCTCTTTATGGTGAGAGACCCAGCCTCCTTCCTTTCTCCCAGCTGAATGGGTCCTCAGCCAGTGTCCCCATTCTTTCGGGAAAAACCTGTATACTTTTTTTTTTTTGCGGAACCAGGGACTGAACTCAGGCCCTTGTGCTTGCCAGGCAAGCACTTATTCTACTGAGCCATCTCCCTGACCCCAAAACTGTATGCTTTTAAAGTGGAAAAGAGGTGGAAGTATCATAAATTCAAAGCCACCCTGGGCAACTTCATGAAATACTGTCTCAAAATTTAAAAAATGGAGAAGAGTTCATCAGTTGTGGTGGTGCATGCCTGTAATCACAGCATTTGTGAGGCTGAGGCAGGAAGATTGCTTCAAGTTTTAGGCCATGCTGGGCTACATTGTGAGTTCAAGGCCACCCTGAACTACATAGCAAGGTACTGTCTCAAAAAGAAAGGAAGGGGGGGCTGGTGAGATGGTTCAGTGGTCTAAAGCACCTACTTGGAACAAGCTTAGCAAACACAGGGACCGCGGTTCAATCCCCCAGCACCACATGCCAGCCAGCCCTGCCCCCTGGTGGGCTGAGCTGGCCACCCCACCCCACACAAATAAATTAAAAAAAAAAAAGAAAGGAAGAAAGGTAGGTAAGTAGGTTGGGGCCAGGGAGATAGCGGCATAAGCGCCTGCCTGGCAAGTGCAAGGTTCTGAGTTCAATGCCTGGTACCGCCAAAAAAAAAAAAAAAAAAAAAAACAAGCGTTGTTAAAAAAATTAAATTATGAAAAAAAAAGATTTAACAATAATGATTAAAAAAAAATGGAAGGTTGGAGATATAACGCAGTACCTACGTGGCAAGCATGAAATTGTGAGTTTGATTCCTGGTACCTACCCCTTCTCCAAATAAAAGTGGAAAAGAGTGGTTCCCCTTCATTAGTCTGAAGCTTCAAACTGGTGAGCTTCAGCTGGGTATGGTGGTGCATGTTTGTAATCCCAGCATTCAGGAGATTGAGGCAGGAGGATATGCGAGTTTAAGGCCATCTTGAACTGCATAGCAAGACCTATCTTTAAAAAAAAATTTAGGGGCCAGGGAGATGGCTTAGTGGAATAAGCACTTCTCTGGCAAGTGCAAGGGCCTGAGTTCAATCCCCGGTTCCGGAAAAAAAAAAAAAAAAAAAGAATTTAAAGTGGAAGAGTGGCATCCCCCTTCATTAGACTGAAGTTTCAAACTGTTAGGTTTCTGGCCTCTTCATCCTGCAAAAAATGTTCCACTGGGACTAGGTGCGGTGGCACATAACCATAATATCAGCTACTTGAAAGGCTGAGGTAGGAGTATCATAAATTCAAAGCCACCCTGGGCAATTTAATGAAATACTATCTCAGAATTTAAAAGGGTTTGGGAGCTGGGCATGGTAACACACACCTGTAATCCTATTGCCCTGGGAGGCTGAGGCAAGAGGCTCAGCCTGGAGATGGAAGAGCCAAAGCCCTGGGTTTAATCCATAGTACTGCCATAATAAAGGGTGTGTATGGGGGGGCACTGGTGACAAAGCTCCATGGTGCATAAATGATACATGTAGTTCTGCTCTCCAGGCCATTAACAAGGTGGAGGGTCTACTTCGTCCCTATGACTGAGGCCCACTACTAGCAGGGCATGAGATTTTCCATTTCAAGAGTCCCTGCCACTCTGCACTGTCATTGTTAGCATTACTTACCTAACTCCTCAAGGCTTTTGTTTGTTTTGTTTTGAAGAATCTTTAACAGCGGGTCCAGGGAGATGGCTCAAGTGGAATAAGTGCTTCCTTGGCAAGCACAAGGGTCTGAGTTCAATCCCCGGTTCTGCCAAAAAAAAAAAAAAAAAAAAGCTTAACAGGGACCTAAATTTTAAATTTATTTTTAAGGAAGGAGGGGCTGAGGAGATGGCTTAATAGAATAAGCGCTTGCCAGGACCTGAGTTCAATCCCCAGTTCCTCAAAAAAAAAAAGGGAAAGATTTATTTAGCCCACAGGTTGTGGAGGTTTCAGTGGCTGGCTGGAAGGCAGGACGGCACATGGCAGAAGGCAGCAGTTTGTGGCAGCAGAAAACAGCAAGAGCAAAAAGGCAGGAGCAGGGGCAACAATAGCAGCAGAGGTGGAAGCTCAGTTGTTTAAATTTAAACTTATGTATTTTGCACAATGCCTCACTGTATAGCTCATACAGCATGTGGTGCAGGGATCAAACCTGGTCCTTGCTCTTGCCAGGTAGGCACTTAGACCACTGAGCTATCTCTGCTGCCCCTTGTTTTGTTTTGAGACAGGGTCTAACTGTATAGCTCTGGCTGTCCCTGACCATGTAGCCCAGGGTGTTCCTGAGCTCACAGTAATCCTTCTGTCTCAGCCTCCTAAGTGCTAGGATTGCAGGCGTGCAGCCACCACAGCCAACTCTTGTGGGCTTTGCACCATGTCCTTGTCTAGACTCAGGCCTGTTACCCGCCAGTAAGCAGGAGGGAGGTGAACTGATGTGCCTTTTTCTTTATCGCCTTAGACTTGTGGGAGTACTACCTTCCCTATCTCTACTCCTGCATCTCCTTTCTTGGCGTCTTGCTGCTCCTGGGTGAGTGTGTAGAGTGTGGGAGGGGATGGTAGGGCGAGGGCCAGAGCATTGGGGTGGGAGAAGATGGAGGGGTGGAGGCAGGATGGGGAGGACCCCACCCTGCCAGCTGGCTGGTCACTGGCTCTTGTTCCTGCAGTGTGCACTCCGCTAGGCCTTGCCCGCATGTTCTCGGTCACTGGAAAGCTGCTGGTCAAGCCCCGGGTAGGTGGTCTTCCTTGCCCTTTCAACATGCAGGGCAAGCTTCATACAAAACTGCAGCCAGACATTGAGGTAGCCCTGTGCTTGTATGGTACACAGCTTACAAAGGACCACAGTCTTTGTTGGCCTCTGTAGCCTTTACTGCTGTCACTTGTAGCTGAGTACAGACATGCAACAAAAGGCAGCTGGGATGGAGTGGACCCAGCTGCGGGCAGGGTGGGGAATGAGGGTTGGGGGCAGGAATGGGGCTGTAAGACCCTGGATGGCCAGGGCTGTGTGGGACCTTTAGGGTCAAGGAGCTTTTGATAGTCCCTCCTTTCCCCTGCCCCCAGCTGCTGGAAGACCTGGAAGAACAGCTGTCTTGCTCAGCTTTTGAGGAGGCTGCTCTGACCCGAAGGATCCGTAGTAAGTCGTAATTCTCCCAGCTGGAGTGGCAGGCTGGCCTGGGCAGGCCTGTAGGACCAGGATGCAGGACTGTTTTCTCTGTGCTCAGACCCCACCTCCTGCTGGCTGCCTTTAGACATGGAGCTGTTGCACAGACAAGTCCGGGCCTTGCAGACGCAAAGGGTCCTGCTGGGTATGTGGCTTATGGAGCTTGGGGCACCAGGTTTCCCCAGGGAGAGAAGCTCTTGTTCCAGGTTCTTGCTCACAGACTCCTGTCTCTACAGAGAAGCGGCGGAAGGCTTCAGCCTGGCAGCGCAACCTGGGCTACCCCCTGGCTATGCTGTGCTTACTGCTGCTGACTGTGAGTGTATGGGTGGGGGTTGGGTGGGGAGCCTCAGGAGGGATTGAGGGATGCGGGAGCTGGCTGTCAGTGATACTGATTACTTTTCAGTGAGTGCCTACTTTTTTCCTGCTCTGTGCTAAGCATATCACAACCCCCATTTGTGAATGAAGACACAGAATTAACTTGTATAAAGTCCCACAGAGCCATTGAATGGTTATGCAGAATTACCTTGCAATGAGATTTTCCCCATTTGGTATATAGGTCTTATAATCAGAAGAGTTCCCTGGATTCCTAGATAATAGGCTCTGAAAAAGAAGAAAAGACTGGTTCTGGCCCTATGTCTGTCTATCTGTTCTGTGTGTGTGTGTGTGTGTGTGTGTGTGTGTGTGTGTGTGTGTGTGTGTCTGTCTGTCTGTCTGTCTGTCTGTTTCCCTTCTTCCTCTCTCTCTCTCCCTCCCTCCCTCCCTCCCTCTTTCTCTCTCTCTCTATTTCTGCTCTGCCCTCATGCATGCTAGGCTATGCTCTACCACCAAACTAGATCCCAGCCACAGATCCCTTTTTCTATGCAGCCTTTGTGCAGTCCTTCAGAGCGTTGCATCTCATAATATCCTCACAGCAGCCTGATGTGCTAGTGCATGCTTATGATTTCAGCACTCAGAGTTTGAGGCCAGCTGGTGCTGCTTGATGTCACCCAATTTATCTAAAAACACCAAAACCAAACCCTCAGAAGTGCTCTATTGATGATAGACTTCAAAGAGCCCCTCACACCTAGGCAGGGCAAGATTTGGAAGTTGAAAATGTTTGACTAGGATGTCCGTTCTTAACATTGTACCCTGAGTACAGGCTGGGCAGAGGTGGGAATCTGACCTTGCTTCACACAGGGCCTGTCTGTGCTCATTGTTGCCATCCACATCCTGGAGCTGCTCATCGATGATGCTGCCATGCCCCGGGGCATGCAGGTATGTGCTGCCCTTCCATGGAGATCTCCTGGGGAAGACCTGTAGAAACCCGGGGCAGGGGCAAAACTTGGGTGTTAGGGGTGCTGCTGGTGAGGCGTGGGCCGTGCCTCAGGGGTGCTGCTCCTCCTTCAGGACCCCTCCCTGGGCCAGGTCTCCTTTTCCAAGCTGGGCTCCTTCGGTGCCGTCATCCAGGTTGTACTCATCTTGTATCCTTCTGGAAACCCACCTTTGCCTCTGCTTGCCAAACCTGTCTCTTAGAACTCTGGACAGAGCTCCTCTGGGGAGCTGTTTCTGGGATCCATAGAAAGCCATGGGGGAAAGTGCAAGCCTCTAACTTTGTGTTTAGAAAGATGGAAGAGCCTGACTCGGAAAGGGCGGCTGGGAGAGATGTCCATTCCCTTTGAGAGGAGGTATTCGTTGGTCCTTGGGAGCTGGAAGTTCTTCCTTAACCCAGCTTCAGTTACCTGATGGTGTCCTCAGTTGTGGGCTTCTACAGCTCTCCACTCTTCAGGAGACTGCTGCCCAGGTGGCAGGACACAGCCATGACACAGGTAGCCGGGAGGGAGGAGAGGGAACCTCCTGATGGCGTGAGTGGTATTGGCTATGGGCAGTTCTGCTACTCTCGTTCTCCTTTTCCTGTGACTACCCAGATAATTGGGAACTGTGTCTGTCTCCTGGTCCTAAGCTCAGCACTTCCTGTCTTCTCGCGAACTCTAGGTAAGTAGCAAAAGGAGGTAAGGGGCTATTGCTCAACAGGCACTGTGCAAGTGTGTCTGTGCACACTTTCTTCAGTTCCTACAACAGATTTAAGAGGTACTGCCCCATGATACAGATGAGGAAACCAAGGCTCTGCAGTGCCCATGCGGAGCTCAGACTACTGTGGCTGCCGAGTTCATACACCTGACTGCCTTCCTCTTTTCTACTTCTCCCTGGAGGTTTCTGTTGGGTGGATCATCTGGTAAACAATCTTATTTGCGTGCTAGGAACCCTGGGGTTCAAGCCCCAGCACCACCCCTAGAAAAACTCATTTGAAAGATAAGGAATAGGAAAGGCTAATTGGGGTCCGGGGAGATGGCTCAGTAGAATAATCGCTTCCCTGGCAAGCACAAGGGCCTGAGTTCAATCCCCAGTTCTGCCAAAAAAAGAAAAGGCTAATTGGTCCACCCTGGAGTGAGTGAGTTAGTTTGATGAAACTGGGGATCAAGCCCTTGGCCTTCACACACCTACATACACAGGCCATGGCTTAATTTCTGTTTTGAGACAGGCTCTTGCTAAATTTCCCAGAGAGTACCGGAGTCACAAGTGTGTGTCGCTGTGCCCAGCTGACACTGAGCTGAGCTGTACAGCTAGCTGCAGGCGAGGCCACATTGGGCTGGAACATCTGCTTTCTGGACCCTAGGCTAGGGATTTCTCCATTCCCAGGAATGTCGTGTGATACCCTCAGTCTTTCTGGACAGCCAAAGTCTAGAATTGGTTAAGAAGGGCAAAGAGGGCCAGCCAAATAGCGGATTAAAGCCCCTGCTAACAGGCGCAGGGGCTGGGGGTTTGGTCCCCAGCCTTGCCATGCCAGCCCCTCCCCCAGGGCACACAAACGGCAATTGAGACTGGGCATGGTGGCACATGCCTGTGATCCCAGCTCTTGGGAGGCTGTAAACAGGCGGATCACTATGAGTCCCATCTAGTAGTGAGACCCTGAACACCCTGTCAACCCTTCCCTAAAAGACAAAAAAAAAATTAGTGCAAAGAGAATGACTGGCTCAGTCAACAGCCCCATACACCATGTCCTCTGTTTAGTATAATTTTGTTTCAATCACATGTTCTTAAATTTGCACAGGCTGAGTATCCCTTGCCTGAAATGTTGGGGACCAGAAGTGTTTCAGATTTCTGGATTTTTTGAATTTGGAGTTATTTACATTGACTTTACTGACTGGGCATCCCTCACCCAAATATCTGACTCCAAACTACCCCAAGCTGGGTGTTGCAGCTTTTAGGGAGGCTGGGATGGGAGGCCACTTGAGCTCACAGGTGCAAAGCCCAGCTGGGTGACACAGGGAGGTCCCATACCAAAATACAACAGAGTGCTTAGCCTGGCCTAGTGCTCTGGGAGACTGAGCAAGGAGGATTACAAGTTTGAGACTAACCCAGGCAATTAACAAAATCTTATCTCAATAAAAAGGGCTGGGAATGGAGTTCAGTCCCTAGAACAAAAAAAGAAAAAGAATGCTGAGGATGTAGTTTAGTGTGAAGTTCCCGAGTTCAGTCTCCAGTACCCGCCTAAAAGCGTTCCCATCATTAAGGCTATTTCACCTGTACTCTTCACCATGGTGTTACTGTTTGTTCTTCAGGAATTTAGTAGGAAAGCAAGTTGGTGGGTCCATCAGTTCTGTTTGGTTGGATGCAGGTAGCAGTATTTGGATGAGGATCAGATCTTTGATTCATAATATTAATATTAAAAGCTTAGTAAGAGAATAACGCCTCACATCTATGGGGCTTTCATGTGTGTTGCCTAATTTAATTCTTCCAGTCCCATTCTTTATTTTATAGTTGAGGAGCCACAGGGAGATAAGGACTTTCCCCCGGACCATGACCAGGGCAGTCCTATCAGTGTGAGCTCTCGGCTCCTGTACTGCTTTGTGGGCTTTGTTTTGGCGGAACTGGGGATTGAACTCGGGCCCCTTGCGCTTGCCAGGGAAGCCCTTATTCCACTGAGCTATCTCCCCAGCCCTGCTTTGTGTTTCGAAGACTACGTGGTGGCCAGTTGCAGGTTCCTAGTCTAGGACCAAGTGGAATTCCTGGTAGTTCCTAGGGCCACCTGGAGCCAGAGGAGCCTGTTGCAGGAGAAGTCAGACTCTGGAAAGGAAATGGGAGTGAGCTGGCCTGCTGACATTTTGTTCAATAGCTGGGAAAGTGGCTTTAGAAGACTGCTTGGAGCCAGGTGTGGTGGTGCGGGCTTCAACCCCAGAGCTTGGAGGCTGAGGCAGGAGGATCACCATGAGTTCAAGGTCAGCAAGGGCTACACAGACCCTGGCTCAAAAAGGGAAAGGAAAAGAATACAGCTTGGGAGGTCTCCTGAGCAGAGTGCCAACCTACCAGTTGCAGTGCTGAATTATGTCCACCAGGAGGCAGCAGAAAGTTGGCTCTAACCAGGAGAGAGGTGGGGAGCCCCTTCCCATCCTGGCTGTCATACTCAGGACTCACTCGCTTTGACCTGCTGGGTGACTTTGGACGCTTCGACTGGCTGGGCAGTTTCTACATCGTGTTCCTCTACAACGCAGCCTTTGCCGGCCTCACAACACTCTGTCTGGTGAAAACTTTCACTGCAGCTGTGCGGGCGGAGCTGATCCAGGCCTTTGGTGAGCAGTGGGGTGCGTGAAGCAGGGCTCCGGGAAAGAGGCTGAGCTTCCTGTTTAGTGCCTATCCAGTTCCGTGTCCTGCCGCCTTGTCCCTGAAGAACTGGACCTGTGTCCCACTTTTGACTGCCCATCTCCCCTTCTCCAGGGCTGGATAGGCTGCCACTGCCTGTCACTGGTTTCCCTCGGTCATCAAGGAAGAGTTAGCACCAGTGACCTCTGTCTGGGGAAGGAAGGAGAAAGCTGGATGCTGCCACCTGCTGCCCAGGCCTGGAGGGGATCCCAGGGTGGTTGGACCTCGGGGCCTGGAATCGGAATGGGTGGCAGAGGGGAGCCGAGCCATCCTCACCGTTGCATAATCTGAGCCAGAGTTTGGGACCAGGACTCTATTTTCCAGACTAACTGTGGCCTCAGCACAGGGTAGGGCTGGGCGACCAGGTCTGGCTCTTGGTCCCAAATCCATCTACACATCAACCTGCCTCACTGCTGTGTGGGCCCTGCCCATGGCGTGTTTACATGATTTGCCGTGCAATAGGGAGGGGGAGGGTGGGAGGGACTGGGCCGGCAGGCTTAGGGGCAGGTTGCCCCTTGCTCCTGCCCAGTAGGGCCCAAGCACTGTGCTATCCCAGAGGGGCTTTGGACCACTGCAGAAAACCAGAGTGTGGGGAGGAAGAGGCCACACTCATCAGCAATAAAGTCGATCCCAGGGTTTGCCTTGTTTTTAACTGTCTCTGTCTGTTTGAACAATCTTGTCTCCTACCCCATCCCGAGTCTACCAAGAGACACTGGCTGAGAGGACCTGCTGTTGCCCTTCCCTGCACCTCAGTGTCCAGAGGGGATACAGAGCTGGTGTCAGGCTATGCGGTTGGGCAGTGGGAAACTCGCATAGCCTTGTTAAAGCTGCTCATTCTTTTCTTTTTCTTTTTTTTAAATTAATTTATTTATTTGTGTGTGTGTGTGTGTGTGGCCAGCTCAGCCCACCAGGGGGCGGGGCTGGCTGGCATGTGGTGCTGGGGGATCAAACCGCGGTCCCTGCGCTTCGCTAAGCTTGTTCCAAGTAGGTGCCCTAGACCACTGAGCCATCTCACCAGCCCCAAAGCTGCTCATTGTTAAAACTAGACGAATACCGCAAAAAGATCCTGGAACGGAAAGCCAAGTCTCACCAAGTAGGAAAGGAAAAGGGCAAATACAAGGAAGAAACAACTGAGAAGATGCAGGAATAAAGTCTTCCTGTGTGCAACTTTTAATTAAAAACTGCTAAAATGGAAAAAAGAAGCTGCTCACTCCTGACTCAGCCTTACACCCAGGGCTGGGTTTATGTTTTGTATGAATTAGGGGTGTGGCTTCACATGCTGTCCCAACCCTGTGATCCCAGAACCCAAGGAGGATGGCCTTGAGTTTGATACACAGAGTTCAAGGCCATCCTAAACTACAAGGTGAGACCCTGTCTCCAAAACCTTGGGAATTTTTTTTAAAAGGGAATAGGTTCAGGCACAGGAATCAGATAACCTCCCCTCTGCACACGTCCGTAGTCCGGTGCCTCATTCTCTCTGACGTGGCAGTTGACTGTAGAGTAAGCACGGCACATAGTGCAACCCAGCGTTGGGAGGTGTGTGTGGGAAGGTCCCAAATGCAAGCCAGCCTGGTTAACTTAGGCCCAGTGTCAATAGGCTGGGGAGATGGATCATTGGGAGCCCCCGAGTTCATCCCCCTACTGCAAATTTTAACGGGGGTGGGTGGTACTGCCTGACAAGGACTGATCATACCTCAGAAAAGAGTAATTTCAAGAGGAGTGTGGTGGTGCACACCTGTAATTATAGCACTTGGGAGGCTTGAGGCAGGAAGATCAAAGCAAGTTCAAGACCAGCCTGGGCTACAAGAGAGGCTTGTGTCTCAAAACAATTTTACTTGTTTTTTTTTTTGTGTGTGTGTGTGTGTTTTTGTTTTGTTTTGTTTTGTTGGCAGAACAGGGGATTGAACTCAGGCCCTTGGGCTTGCCAGGGAAGCGCTTATTCCACTGAGCCATTTCCCCGGCCCCTCAAAACAATTTTAAAGAGATGTATAGTGAGAGGGGGAGAAACGGGGTGGCTCATGCCCATAATCCCTCTCAGGAAATTGAGGCAGGAGTTTTGCCATAAGTTTGAGGCCAGCCTAGCCTACATAGGAAGACTTTGCTGGCCCCCCGAAAAGCCTAATTTCTTTGCAGTCTCTATCAGGCCCTTGAAGTCCCCTCACCATTGGGGATAGTCAGTTCCTTCTGCCTAGCAGGATACATGCTGCATTGCCTAAAGCTACCACCACCATTCACCTCAGAGTCATTATATAATTAAACTGGGTGGGAGACAAATGTGACCATTTTGTCTTCCACCCACTTTAGTGCTGGAGAGTGAACACAGGGCCACATGTGCTAGGCAGGTACTCCCCACTGAGCCACATCCCTTAAGAAAAGTTTGCTCTTTTTTTCTAAAGTACACCAAGTTGCTATGAGTGCTTGCAGTAGAGTGGGTGAGGGGAGGGTGCAAATTCCACAGATACTTGCTGAGCACCATACTGCAGGCCAGGCCTTTAGCCTTGAGATCTGTGATAAGCTGTGGTGAGACCTGCTTTGTCTAGAAGGGCGCCAAAGTAACACTGTCTGAAGGAGCAGTTAATCGCTGCTTCATAAGGGAACATGGATGGGCAATGCTGAGATACCAGGGAAGCCTTCTTAGAGGAGCTGACTTACAGGGGAGGTTTTGTTTTGTTTTTGGTGCAGAGGACTGAACCCAGGGCTTCCAGCTTGCTAGGCAAGCATTCTAGGAGCTGATTTATAAATGATGGAAGTTACTGGGTGGATCTTTGAGATGTGGCCTCCTGAGCCCTGTGCTGGGGCCTCTTAAGAATGAGGACTTTTCAGTGCCCACTGCCCTTTGGCAGCTTCCAAATGACAGCTCATTCCTTCATAGAGAAGTGGGGTTGCATGTCTGGCAAGGATTGAGAGAGCCCAAAGTTGAGACTACTAAGCCAGGCTCACTACCAAGTTCTGTTCCTCATTCTGGGGAAATTCCCAGTGGAAGACTATAAAGTTACAAGGCGAAATGGTCCTCTGGGACCCATGCTTCCAGTGCTGGTTACTGTCAGGTGCCAACCGAGTTAGGTTTGGGGAGGTTCACAGAGGAAGAAGATCTGGTTGTACGCTCAAAGGATTTGGCTGGCCTTGCACAGAAATTGGAACCCATACTTCCTGGATGACAGCAGAAGGCATGGCCTGCCAGGGTAGGCTTTGGAAGAGCAAAGACCCAATTCAAGCGTCAGAGAAGGATTTGGTTCCAAATTTAGGCTTGGAGGTAGAAGAGTGCCTATCCAGGCAGCCAAGGACTGTAAAGCTACAAGGATTTCCTAGGCAGGTGCCTGCCTGGTATCCAGGATAGAACACACTTCTGTGGAGAAATGGAACTGTGGTGACCCGCTAGATACCCCGCCCGGGTGCGAGGGGAGGGACAGTCCCCGGAGAAGGGCGGGGGGCGTGGCCAGGGGCAATTGAGGCGGAGCCCGGGCATTCTAGCAGCACGAAGACTGGCGGCAGAGACGGGCTGGGCTGGCAGTCACCCACGACCCCCCTTCACCGCTATGGTAGCCCATCAGTAGCAGGTCCCAGGCCTCCCAGACATGTGGGCAGAGCTGGCGGTAGCCAGGTGCGCTGAGCCACGAGAACTCTAGGGCACTTGGGACGGCTCTGCCTGCTGTGCTCTGGCGCCTGTGGAGATGTCCAACTGACAGGAGGGCTCGAGAGGACAAGAACGCGCCCCATAGCCCAAGCCCGCTGCACCCATGGCGCTGCCAGCCAGCCTGTTGCCTCTGTGCTGCTTGGCACTTCTGACACTGCCTGCCCAGAGCTGCGGACCCGGCCGGGGACCAGTTGGTCGGCGCCGCTATGGGCGCAAGCAGCCTGTGCCGCTGCTCTACAAGCAATTTGTGCCCAGTGTGCCTGAAAGGACCCTGGGCGCCAGTGGGCCAGCTGAGGGAAGGGTGGCAAGGGCCTCCGAGCGCTTCCGGGACCTCATACCCAACTACAACCCTGACATCATCTTCAAGGATGAGGAGAACAGTGGTGCTGACCGACTAATGACGGAGGTAAGGAGGGTCTCTTCCCACCTGTGCCAGGACACTGCCAACTCTGTTCTCCTCTGGCAGCCTGAGCCAGGCCTTATCTGCAGGGACTTTAGTCTTAAAGACCTCTCCCAACACTGTCCTCCAAAACTAACCTGCTGGCTGGCAGTGCTTTAGGACGTGTCCCAATGCAGAGCTGGGATGGAATGGGGGAGGGCCCGACTAGTGAGAGTGAAGCTGGGAGGCTGTGAGGGCGGGGAGAAGAGGGTGGAGGATGGAGGCAGGCGAGACGGGAAATGGCCGAGGCGTGGACCGGGGGTCAGCCACCGAGCCAGGCAGGAAGGGCTGGGGTGAGCTGGGGGCCAGGAGTTGGCTGGCAGTGGACAGAAGGCTCTACCCTTGGCCTGGCTCCTGACCCCCATTGTGGAAAAGCTCTACGGCCAAAGCGAAGGGACCAAAGGGACTAGGAAGGAGACGGCTAGTGGTCAGGTCAGCGCGTCCTCCAGCCCATAGGCTGGGCAAGAATTGTCTTGGGCATGTGACAGGTGTCTTAGAACCCAGACAGGGCTATTCTGGGGTGTAAACGACACAGGGGGCATCCTCAGTGAGAATAGATGAGCCCAGCTGAAAATCAAAAGGGCTGAAAGCTCAGTTTAGCTCAGAGGCTTTTCTTCGAATTAAAGAATTAAACTCAACTAACGATTACTAGCGTCTGCTGCAGCCTGGTGCCAAGCCCAGTAGGGGTGAGGTGGCCCGTGCCGTGGAAGAGAAGTGGCAGTTCTGGCCAGTGAGCTGGAGTGTCAGAGCTGAAAGAAAGCTTGGAACCACAGTCCTCCACCCTGCACGTTCACTCCTTCCACATATGAGAGCTGGGTTCCAGGAGGAAAAGCAATTCAATCAGTCTCACAACAAATTAGTGGCATTGCGGGAACTGAATTCAAAACTCCGATTTCAAGTCCTATACACTTTCCATTACACCACCTAATTGTGTATGGAGAGATGAGGTGGAGGGAGAGGGAGGGAGACGGATTTCCTCTGATTAACTGCCATAGTTTTCCAGGTTACTTTGTTAGGAAAACCTGTCCAAAGGAGAAAGAATTCCTTCTGGCTTCTGCCTGAAGCCTTCCTCCTACCCTGGGACCCAGAAGGGGATGGTCCCTTTGCTTTGCCTCTTTGGTCATGGGACACTATGGCCCTTTCCTCAGACTGCCACCTGCAGCAGAGGGGGCAGAACAAGGGACAGGCCCAGAAGGGGCGCTGACAGGCCTGCGAACCCCCTCAGTCCTCTTTCTCTCCCACACCCTGGCTGCAAAAGGCTTCCATTGAGTCGGCTCTGCCCTGGGCTGCTGCCCCCGCAGATCACGGCCTCTCAAGGGGACAAAACTGCTAGAAGCTAAAAGGAGCGACCACGCTTCCCGCCGCCCTCCCCCGCAGAAGTCGGGGGCGACCAGGGAAGGAGCGCAGGAGGGAATGTGTTGCTCTGGCAGTGAGGGGAAAAGCGGGTCCGAGGTGGGAGGTGAGCACAGAGGAGGCGGCTGCGCGCTGTTCCTCTCGCTGCGTCCGCGCTGCGGCGTGCACCAAGGTCTCGGGCCGGGACTGGAGCTGTAGAGATAACCGCGGCCTCACGCCCCCACAGCCCTCCAGCGACGGCCGCGTCTCCTGCTCCTCCTCCTCCACCTCCTCCTGCTCCTTGGCGCTCCCTCCCAGCAGGGGGCCCCAGACCCGCTCCGAGGCGGCGCCCGCCTGGTTCTCAGGTGCAGCTCCCGGGGCTCCCGCTGCCTCTGGTAACTAGAGGCAGAAGCGAAGACTCCTCGTGGCCGCACAGCCCAAGCTGCCCCGAGGCCCGGCCGCGCGGGGGGAGGGGACCGGCGGGCCGGTGCAGAGTGAGGGGCGCGGCTTTCTGCCCTTTCCTCTCTGAGCCCGGGCGGCTGAAAAGCGTCTTTGTGGCCGGAGCTGCTGAGTCCGCTTCTCCCAGCGCGTTCCCGGCCTCGGCCCGGGATTCTCGCTCGCTGAAGTCATCCCGGAGAATGGCTATTGTGCTCCGCGCGGCCCCCGCCACCAACCCTTTTTCCAACAGCCTGGATCCGACAGAGCTTCTCCTGGCACCTCTGCGGGGGGCACCCAGGCCACAAGGGGTTAATGCCCGGGGCCGAAAGGAGGAGGAGGAGGAGGAAGGAAGGAAGGAAGGAAGGAAGGAAGCGCTGCCCAGTGCCAGGGAAGGCGACGAAACAAAAGATGAATCAGGTGGAGGGAGGGTGGCCAGGGCCCCGGCGGGGGCCAGACTCAAAAGGGGCTCCGCTTGGGGAGCCGAGCCCTCCCCGTTCTGGCCCTCGCTCCTGCTGGGCCGCGGTCCCCGAACAAGCAGTGGTGAGGGCCCACCTCGGCCAGCGGGAGAGCGAGCCAGGTGGGGCATCCCCTGGTACCCTCAGAAACGACCCCACAATTTCCCAACCGCATGCCCGGGAAGGGACGCGCAGATTGACATCGACCCCTCTTCGGAGTCTCGCGGGTGGGGTGTGGGGAGGACCTGGGGACGAAGAAGAGTGCAGGCTCCGGCGGAGGTCCCTTTTGGCCCACGGCGATGGCAGTGCTAGGGAACAACCTGACTCTCATTCTTCGCCAGCGTTGCAAGGAGCGGGTGAACGCGCTGGCCATCGCGGTGATGAACATGTGGCCCGGAGTGCGCCTCCGGGTGACCGAGGGCTGGGACGAGGACGGCCACCATGCCCAGGACTCGCTGCATTACGAAGGTCGCGCCCTGGACATCACCACGTCCGACCGCGACCGCAACAAGTACGGGCTGCTGGCGCGCCTGGCGGTGGAGGCCGGCTTCGACTGGGTGCACTACGAGTCGCGCAGCCACGTCCACGTGTCGGTCCGAGCGGGTACGGAGGGCAGCGGGCGTGAGGTTCGCCCCCAGGCCCCTCCGGGGAAAGGCGGGCCAGCGCCCCGCCCTTCCGCTCGTGCCCAGGTTGGGGCCACACCGGGGCGCCCTGCCCGGGCCGGCGAGATCTGCGTCCGGCCTGAGCGCGTCCTGCGGCCGCCGCGCCGTTGCAGCCTCTCTCTGTGCTTGTGCCTGCAGATAACTCGCTGGCCGTCCGCGCGGGAGGCTGCTTTCCGGGGAACGCCACGGTGCGCCTGCGGAGCGGCGAGCGCAAGGGGCTGCGGGAGCTGCACCGCGGAGACTGGGTGCTGGCGGCCGACGCCGCGGGCCGCGTGGTGCCCACGCCGGTGCTGCTCTTCCTGGACCGCGACCTGCAGCGCCGGGCCTCCTTCGTGGCCGTGGAGACCGAGCGGCCTCCGCGCAAGCTGCTGCTCACGCCCTGGCACCTGGTCTTCGCCGCTCGAGGGCCCGCGCCGGCGCCCGGCGACTTCGCCCCGGTGTTCGCGCGCCGCCTCCGCGCCGGGGACTCGGTGCTGGCGCCCGGCGGGGACGCGCTCCGGCCGGCGCGCGTGGCCCGCGTGGCGCGGGAGGAGGCCGTGGGGGTGTTCGCGCCGCTCACCGCGCACGGCACCCTGCTGGTCAACGACGTCCTGGCCTCGTGCTACGCGGTCCTGGAGAGCCACCAGTGGGCGCACCGCGCCTTCGCCCCGCTGCGCCTGCTGCACGCGCTGGGGGCGCTGCTGCCCGGGGGCCCGGCCCAGCCGACCGGCATGCACTGGTACTCGCGCCTGCTCTACCGCCTGGCGGAGGAGCTGCTGGGCTGAGCGCCGCCGAGCCAGGCGGGGCGGCGGCCGGCGGGCCGGCGGGCGGGCGGGAGGGGCCTTCGGAGACCTGGCGGGGTGGACTTGGCCGCGGGAAGCGGCCCTACGCCTCGGTAGGTGGAGCTGAGGGCGGGCGCTCCGTAACGAGGGCTAGTTAGCCTCCTCTCGCCCGAGCTGCAGCCCTACGTGGTAGTTGTATTTTATTTTCTATTTATAAATTGTAATATAATAAACTGCTTGCCCAGCAGCCAAGGTGGGCGTCTGGGCCCGGCGTTAACACCGCCGGACGCGGCCCACCACTGATGTCTGCTGTTTATCTGAGGTGGGCTAATAAAGGGAAGGCTTCCAGGAGCTTATTGGAAAACACCTCCATTCAGAGGCTGATTCACCGCAAAGGGGTGCCAGCCCGAGCCAACACCCTACTTCCGGCTCCTCCTCCTCCCTCAGGGGGTCTTTGGAACCCTTTTCCTCCCCGCGGAGGGGCGTCCCAATCCATCACAACAGAGCAAGGCGTTTTGCTCCGGTGTGGGCTGCCGGTCGCCTGTCCTTCCCGCCTGCATAAACCCGGCATTCTTCCCCGATGCTGTACGCCGAGCTCGGAAGGGCCAGGGTTGCGCGGAGCGGGAAGGCGCCCGCACAGCCTCGCTGTCCGCAAGGGCTCAGGCCTGCGCTTAAGGCTACTTAGAACAGCGCGGTCCTCTATTGTTAGCAGCCTGGCCCCTCCCCCAAGCTACGAATCGGCCTGGCCCTCACCCACCTTTGTGGTGCAGTCTGCATGGCAGCGATTTTTTTTTTTTTCCCTTGGGATGTCTGGGCCAACTGATGATCGCTGGAATCCATGGGGAATAGCTCGCATTCAACACACGTGTGGCCTAAAAAAGCACCTGGACAGAGGGCTGCAGGGAACAGGTTTCCATCTTGGCTGAAAACAGGCTGCCCCGGCAAGGGAAGCCACAAGTATTACAATCTGATTTCCTTTCTTGATCGCCAGCCCTGGTTGTTGTTTCCGCTGCTTCCTCCATTGTCTTTCCTCTCTCTCCTCTATTATTGCTGGTTTTGCTCCCCTGACCTGGATGTTTGGGAAGATTTGAGCTCCAACAGAACACCTGGAACCCAGCCAGGCAGGTGCCCATGAGTTGGGAATAGAAGCGAGAGAAACTGGATTGCTCTGGAAGGGGAATGTCTGGGGTGTGAGAGACTGTCGAGGGTGTTTAGTAATTAATCCCTGAGGCCAGACCCTACCACTTCTGCCGCTAAATAGATTGGTCCTAATCTGAGCTCAGAGGTCCCTGCTATACATCGCCCCCTTGTGGCCATTAAAAGAATTCTGCGTTTTTGCTTGTGGATAAATGGACGTACTAGGCCTGTGCAGAAGAGTGTTCCAGGAGTCTGAGGTGTAGGGTGCGGCTTGTTAAGAGGCGGGTGGCGAGCCACAGGTGTCATCAGCTGGCAAAGCAAACGCTTGCTCCTCTTAGGGAAAGCCTGTGTAGACCCCGACACCTTTGCATCCTTCTTACCAGGTGAGCTATGTGGCACCTGGACGCTGGAGGCCTAGCGCCACAGTGTACGTGTGGCAGCCTGGGCTTCCTTACACATTGACGTTTCCTCCTCATGCCCCTCACTCCCGTGCCCCTGCAGTGGTGTTTTGTTTGGAGACAAGATCTCACTATGTAGCACAAGCTGGCCTTGGACTCGATCTCTGGCCTGGGCCTGCCAAGTGCTGGGATTACAGGTGCACCTGGCTGTGACCCTTGAGTTTAGAAGTCAAGGAAGTAAAAGCAAATTGAGTCCCAGAGAGTGCTTGATGAAGACAGGATTTGGACGTGGTCTAAGTTCACAGTGTTCTTCCATTCTCCAGTGCCATCAATCTTCACCTGTGCCTGTTGCTGCCCTCTCTTACTAGTCTCAGAAATGCATCCCAAACTGTGGGTCTTTCTTCTTGCTTTTTTTCTTTTTCTTTTTTTTCCGCGGGACCAGGAATTGAATTCAGGCCCTTGTGCTTGCCAGAGAAGCACTTACTCCACTGAGCCATCTCCCCGGCCCCTTCTTGCTTTTTTTCTAAGCCTTCTCTTGTGTCTGTCAAATCCTGATGCCCTTTGTCCTGTTGCCCAGACAAGGCTCATCTGATAAACTAATTAGTCTTTCTGCATTGATAAGCTCTTTCTTTTTAGTACTGTTCTTAGGTAATGCCTATATTCTAAAAGCTAGTTGAAAATAAAGTCTTAGCCATAAAACCATAATGGTGATGATTTCCAACATCTTAATACATTATGCAAGGAGCCACTTGGGAGGTGTCTTACTTTTCTCCTTGATGAGACAAAATACCCAACACCCAAAGTTAGAGGAGGAAAGGCTTATTTGGCTCACATGTGTAGAGAATGTCCATAGCTGGCAGGGTGGCTTTGCTGAGGGGCATCAGGGAGGAGATACAGCCCGTGGTAAATCAGGGCAGGCAGGCAGCAGTGGCAGCAGGAGGCCTGCCTTCTCTGTCTCCGCATCCACCCAGCCTGCCCAGCCTCTGGGTGGTGCTGCCACACTCGGGTGGGCTATCTCATTGTCTATACTCAGGACTGGACCAAACCAATCAGTAGACTAATTTAGTATTACAATGTCTTTTTTTTTTTTTTTTTTTTTTAAGTCTATTTAGTATAGGGTCTTACTACACAGATTGGACTTATAGTGATCCTCCTGTTTTTCAGCCTCCCAAGCACTGGGATTACAAGCATGCGCCACCACACCTAGTCTCAATCAATGTCTCAGTATGCCTCAAGGGGGGTTGGGGAGATAGCTCAGTAGGATAAGCACTTGCCTGGCAAGCGGAAGGGTCTGAGTTCAATCCTCAGTTACCCCCCCCCCAAAAAAAAAGACTGCTCAGTATGCCCCAGGGGTGGGGCTGGCACAGCTTGCAGGGGATCTAACACCAGTCCCTGCATCTACTTAAGCAGGCGCTTACACAGCCTTAATTCCAGCATCAGAGTCCCAGCATCACACACTCTAGATCCAGTCACCTCTGAAAAGCCACCTGTGACAGATTGAGGCCTTGCAGGGATATCTAGACACAAGCCCTAAAACGGGAGGAAAGAGTAGACCTTAAATTATATCCTCAGATTTATTTGCAGGCCTGAGGCTAACTTCTTGCTCCCCACTGCCATCCCCTTTTTTTTTGTTCCCCTGAGGACCTTCCCAGGAAAATCTATGAAAAGCAATGCACTTTGGCGCATGCATGTAATCCCAACTACTTGAAGGCAGAGGCAGGAGGATAACAAATTTAAGGCCAGTCTAGGCATTTTAGTGAGACCTTGTCTCAAGATGAAATTAAAGGGGCCAGGGAGATGGCTCAGTGGAATAAGCACTTCCCTGGCAAGCACAAAGGCCTGAGTTCAATCCCCGGTTAAAGATGAAAGGAGGAAAAAGAAGCTGGTAATACCTCGTTGGAGAGTGTTTGCTTAATATGCAAGAGGCCCTGAGTTCAATCTATAATACACACACACACACACACACGTGCACACACACGCACACACCTTATGACTCCAAGCAGGGAAATGTGCCATCTCCATGACCCAACCCACTCAACACCTTTTTTGATTAACAAGGTGTGGGAGTCAGATGGGCTTGGGGATAACGCCACTTTCCCCACAGGACCTGGATGCAAATAGTTCCTGATGTGGAGTGCGGACTTGCAGCTGGTATCTATTCTTCTTTTTTTTAATCTTCCATTTCCTTGAATGGTTTCTATTCTTTTTTTTTTTTGGTGGAACCCGGGATTGAACTCAGGCCCTTGCACTTGCTAGGGAAGTGCTTATTTCACTGAGCCATCTCCCGGCCCTGGTTTGTATTCTTTGCATCCATTTTTCACTGCTTTTTTTTTTCTTCTTTCTGCTTGTTTCCTTTTCTCCCCAACACTCTAGTAAAAACATGATTAGTGCAAACATATAGGAGTCTAGTGATACCTACAATTCTTGATTTTATACACGCCTTTAGAAGATGCTGCATGACAGCTTTGAGTTTTAGAACTAAACTATAATTAAAAGTAATCTTTTGAAAATTTGTGAAGCATTTTGTGGTGACTCTGGCAAGATGTGCATACTAAGAAGCTAGTGAAATGCTCCCCAGTGCTGGGATTGCAGGCGTGTCCCACTGTGTCCAGCAAAAGCTATTTATTCTTGCTTATTGCCTTCATGGAATCACCATAATTTCCTTCTAGCTTTTTTTTTTTTTTAGGTTTTTTTT